TGTCTAGGCCAAGGATATTGGGCGTAGAAAAGCGGAGAGCTGATCAAAAAGTGCATGCATTGGCCGGGAATCGAACCCGGGTCTCCCGCGTGGGAGGCGAGAATTCTACCACTGAACCACCAATGCCCCGCTCATTAGGCTTCCTGAGGGCTCTCCGGAAAGAATCTTCAAAGCGACTGCGACACCCTCGGTGGGGAAACAGGTTTACACCGCTCTGTTTGGAAGACAGAGTTCACAGACTGACAGGCACTCGAGGCAAAGGCTCGCCAAGAAGGGCTACAATCACGCAACAGCGTAAAGTGGGAACATTCAAAATAAAATATAAAAATATCGGCGTTATCAACTCAGGCCACACCTCTGAAAAAGGCTCTTTATGACCATACCACAGACCCCTGCAGAAGAAACATCGGAAATCCAGCCAGATCCCTTGTTTATGACCCTACACCTTTGACTGGCAACCTCAGACTCTTACCTTAGAGGGTCTGAGAAAATTATCCAATGTGCTAGGTTAGGCAAGTGAAATTCTAATCCAGGTATGAAATAAGAAACAGAGGCAGAATCAGACTGTAATTAGAGGATGGAAAGGGCCAGAATCTAAATAGAGATAATGAAGAAATACACCGTTTTTCGGTATAAACTAGTGAGGTGGTCTTGTAAGCATTACAATAGCATGTGTCAGGTTTCTGAGGTGTTCAAAGCATTTCGATGGATAGGTCAAATGTCATAACTATTTAGAGATTAATTAATACTGTTTGCAACCAATGTTTGATTAAATGGAAGAATCTCATCTCCTACACTGGACTCTGTGTTGTGCTGAGTTTTAGCATTTGTGACTCTGAAATGCATATGGGGCATTCATAGGCTTTGGTGTTTTGGTTGTATAAGGAACAGACTAAACTCTAGAAAAAGTATTGATGGGTGAAATGTTAACATATAAATCCTCTGATGAGACTGAAGTACAGAGTGATGTCTTTCCCTAATTTACCCTGAGGTATTTACACTGAAGAAAGGAACCTGGGGTGGGGACTCCCCCACATGTTGGGACTTAGGAATCATTATGACTTTCTGAAAGATAGGAGCTGCAGATATGCCGTTATGGTTCTCTTGCTGAGAAACCAAGCTAGGTGGAGGCTGAATCATAAACTTGAGCTCAACAAGGAAACTGATCATCACCTCGACCTTGAAGAACTTTGGCTCTCCCTGCCCTCTGTCCAACACCAGGGCTCACCACCTCTGGCCCACACGCTTTCATTTATCACCCACATCAACCAGATCTACATGTATTCCCACACCTCTTTCTAAACTGCAAACCTGCACTTTCAACTCACAACTCCTACTTCACAATCAATGTCTCCTATACATCTGAGAGTCACAAATGCTCAAATGCAACACACCATCGAGTTCCCTTTCAGCATCACATACCACCCTCTGCTTCAGCCCTCTAGGAGCAGAGCCAGGCACAACATCTTCCTAAGAGTAGTGGGCACTGTCTCCCAGTGTTTCCGTCAATCAGCAGTACACACCCAAATCCGTTCCCACCCTTACCTGGTGTGTTTACCCTCACTACCGGCCACCCTGTTGTCCGAACCAGATCTTATTAGTCTCTTTTTATATACTCTCATCCTCCTGGCACCAAAGTTTATGTCCAGTATAAGCATAAGAGAATGCTTAACTAACCGGGTGTTTTTTGTTTTTCTCCTTCAGTTTTTCTCTGCCCCTCTACCGAAGAGGCCTGTTCCAAAAAAAAAAAAAAAAAAAAAACCACCAAAAGTCCTTCCTGAGCCACTTTCTGTGGAGACCCAGTTCACCCCAAAATGCCAAGGCATTGGTGGTTCAGTGGTAGAATTCTCGCCTCCCACGCGGGAGACCCGGGTTCGATTCCCGGCCAATGCATGCACTTTTTGATCAGCTCTCCGCTTTTCTACGCCCAATATCCTTGGCCTAGACAAGTCGTTTCCTACCTGGAATTTTACCACGACCTGAGAACTCGGATCTACCTCACCAGGAAGGTCTGAGGCTCCATTCCTCAGCTTCTTGTGTCTCCGAAGGAATTGCTCCGACAAAGCATCCTTCTCCCTGGACCCCTAACACCTCTCCTGCTACAGCTACTGTCTTTCAGTGATCTTCATTTCTAGAAGACAGGATAAAAGTAACAACGGTTTTAGTTTCAAATCTTCCAAAATGCAGGGATTCAGCAAACATACCTGGAGCTTCAAAGACATGCTCTCTTCACAGTATGTGAGGGCTGCAAAATTCCTGATGTCGAGAGCACTTTCTAAAACGTACGGTGAGCGGGTACCTGGTTGTTGTTCTCTCTTTGCTACCTTAGGTGCTGGTGGAAACCAAAGTTTTGGGAGAGCCTGCCAGAAAACCCACGTGTGTTGTCTAGGAATCAAACCCAGGTCTGCAGTGCAAGAGGCGAGAATTCTACCACTGAACCACCAATGCCTTGGCCTTTTGAGCTGGACTAGGTCTCCTCAGAAAGTGGCTCAGAAAGGACTTTTTTCGGGGGGGGGGGGGGGCAGGGAACAGGCCTCTTCCATAGAGAGGCAGAGAAAAACTGAAGGGAAAACAGACACACACACACACACACAAAACACCCGGTTGGTTAGGCATTCTCTGTTGGTTATACTGGACAGAGCCGTGTAAGCCTGTTTCCCCGCCGAGGGTGTTGCAGTCGCTATGGAGATTCTTTCCGGAGAGCCCTCAGGAAGCCTAGCGAGCGGGGCATTGGTGGTTCAGTGGTAGAATTCTCGCCTCCCACGCGGGAGACCCGGGTTCGATTCCCGGCCAATGCATCGTGCTCGCGTTAGTTTTTCACCCCAGACCTTTCACTGCTTGGTTTTGCCTGCTCCCCGCGCCAAGTCCAGTTAGGTCGTGGTTCTACCCACAAGGAGTAAGAAGAGGGACTGTAATCCCAAGGCATCCCTGAGCAGAAGATGCTTAAGGAGTCGTGGGAACTGGGACTGTCCAGAGCCCCAGGGCTGTGAGGGAGCAGCATTTGGCGTGCCTCCCAGTCACCACCTCGCTGGCCAGTTTCTGTCTTTCTACCTGCATGTGTCCTCTGATAAATAAAAGAACGGTCTCTATCCCGCAGAACTGCCAAGGATGTATGTGTAAGAATATTCTTCTGCACATCATTATTCATAAGAAAATAGCAGAACCGATTCATTAGTCAACACGTAAGGTTTAAATGTACATGAGTATATTCCGACAATGAAAATGCAATTGTTACAAACGAGACAATCCTGATAATTCAGATAATGCTACTGATTCCAAAAAAAAACCGGTCACCATTGTTGAGCGTTCGTTGCCCTCTTACATACGTTTCCTTATTTGAAGCTCAGAACTGCCGGGAATAAGCAATCTGTGGCGGAGGTGGGAGGTCCCGAGGCACTCGAAGACCACCAAGATAGAAAACGAAGACGGGCGGAGGGAGTAGGAGACGCGGGAAGGTGTAGGAGGAGGGGCAGGGGAGGAGGCGGACTCGGCCGGGAGAGATTCTACAGCCCCTGGATAGCTCCGGTGACCGGAGGGCGCTCTGGCTCCGGAAGCCTCTCTGCGACCACAGGCTTCAGAGCTGCTGCTCTCCTGGAAGAGACCCTCCTTTCCTCTGGTCTCAGGACAGTGGAGAGCTCATCGTCCTGGGTGATTCTCGTCTGCCCGAAGGCCTCGGAGGGAAGGACGTGCCGACCGAAGCGTTGTTCCGAAGGGCTCCATTGTGCAATGTCCCGGCTTGTGCTGGATGATTTCCCGGGTGCCTCTTCTGGACCCCGCAGGACATTGCTGCTCTTTCTTGAGGAGCAGTGGGAGAGCCGGCCCAGCGTGGCCGGCTCCCTGGGCCGCGGGAGACCCAGGGGCCTGAGCTAGGCCCCTCGATGGGCAGAGCCCAGAGAGCCGGCAAGGGAACGGGTTGCCGCCTGAGCCCGCACGCTCTCGCTCCTCCCGCTGTAGGAAAATAGAGACCCAAGTCCGTCCGCAGGCACCGGCGCGGCGGCTAGGTGATATCTGGGGGTTGGGCGGCCGACGGGCGAGGGGCGCGTGGAGGGAGCGCTGACTCTCCGCAGGAACGCGGCTGGGGTGGAAGAGGAGAAGGGGGGTGGGCTAGCAGGTGGGAAGTTGGCTAGGCCAGGCCGGGCCGGGGATACTGCGCGCCGGCCCCGGGAGCCTCCTGGCGGAGACAGGCCTCGGACCTCCGCATTCCTGGAAGGGGTGCCTCCCTCTGACCTGGCCCCGAAGGGACTGTGGAGCGCGAGGCTTCCGAGCGATGCTCCCACGCTTTCCCGGCACCCAGGCCGCGCGGCCTTTCCCCGGCAGACGCCCGCCGGGCCAGCCTGCAGGGACCGCCCGGACCAGTGCGGAGCCCGGCGGGTGGGGCCCGGGCGCGCGCACCCGCACGCGCGTGGGCGGCTGCAGGCTGCGGGAGAAGGCACGTCTGGCACTTGTGGACAGACAGGAGGCGTGCTTCAAGACGCAGGACACATCCAGACGCTTTGGTCACGAAATAGGAAAGCGGGCAGATGGGGATGCAGACCCTATTTCCAAGCAGTGGCGCGCTGGCTGGGGGTGCGCCTCCCGCTCTGGATCTGGGGAGCGGAGCACAGCGAGGCACCACGGAAGACATGTCGCCTGTCATGAACCGCGGGATATCGGCGGAGAGCACGAAGGCTGTTCCCAGTAGCGGAGATCCCGGCATCTGCAGGTCCCGAGTGCAATAGACGAGCCTCATCCTGGGGAAAACTACCTTCGTAGCCACAGTCCCTCCGGTGCCCGGGTAAGTGTGAGCCCACCGCCCGCAGGCACAGTGCAGCCTCCCATCCCTCCACCGACACAGTCAACACCCTGCCCTCCCCACGGCCCGCGCTGTTCTTCCAAACCGCGCTCGGCAAAGCTGCTCAAGGAACGGCGCCGACTGCCCACTCCGCCCGACCCTTCGACCCCGCAGCGTCTCATCTACATACTCCGGCTCGTGTACTTGACAAGCTACTTTCGTCTGGTGAGAGGATCGGCGACTGTAGCTTTTCTCGACACGGTGAATCAGGGGATGAAACGCTGCACAAAAGGTTTCCCTGACCGGGAATCGAACCCGGGCCGCGGCGGTGAAAGCGCCGAATCCTAGCCACTAGACCACCAGGGAGCTCTGACACAGGCGTCCTTCTTCTTGCCTCTGACTAGAGTCACCGTTTTCCTTTCTCCCCGGGGGAGGTCTTGCGCCTTCTCCAAGGTCTTGAGCCTTCGCCGTCACTTCCAGAAATCCTTGCCTAAGGCCATCCCTTCCATTCTTCCCCCAGAAAAGGCACCTGCCGGTGAGGCACCCAGCGCCCCCGAGTCCCGCCTCGTCCCCAAGTCAGGAGCAAGTTGCCTCATTCCGGCCGCACCTCAGAACTGGACTGGTGACCCGCCTTAGCGAGGTGCCCGGGAGTGAATAGCATAGAAGGTCGCTGAGGCCCGGGGAGCTGGAGCGGGGGCCAGGGGCCCGGAGGAGGCGGGAGGCGTTGTGCCCGGGGTGAGAAGGGGCCGCTCACGGAGAGCCCGCATCTCTACCGTCCAGAAGGACTCGGGCGGATGCAGCAACGGAGAGGCCTTGAATGGAAAGCTCTTGGGAGTCTGGCTCCAAGACTGCGATCTGGGTTCTGGATCCAAAGTCGAGCAATCCCTGAATGGGCTTTCTCGGTTCACCCATACCTCAGTGTTCCCCAGTTCGGCGTGGAGAAAAACTTCTGTCTCCTGAGCCATCCCTGAGTCGCCAAAAGTCTGGCTCAAGAATTAGTGATGAGAGGAGTGAGAACACGCAGAGACAAAGAGCAGCAGTCCTGTAGGAGGACTGCTAGCAATTTTCACAATAAATGAGTCAGTCACATAGCAGCGTCACAGGACCTGTAGTTTCTCCCTTTAGGACATAGATGACAATGTTTGACGCCTATTCTGAGGTTGTTTTCACAGAACCCAGATGGAAACTGCTGACCACAAGCACGTGGACCCATTAGAGGCTAGAGGGTCAGAATGATGATGTTTGTTCCAGAAACTTCACCTTGCTACCTCACCATCAAGCAGTCAGAGGACTGTAGAGAGCTCATCAGACACCCTGGCACCCTCTCCTCCACACTGTCTGTATTGACACTTGCCTGAAAGCCATCCATGACTTGGGGGTCTTTTGAGCATCAGCGGCCTGTTCTCCTTTCTGAGAACCCTGCAGTGAAAGGGGTACTCTCCTTGGCCACCACGTGGTCAGTTGCTTGGCTCTTCCGTGCAATGGGCTGCAGGACCCGAGTGCCATTTGAAAACAGATCTTCCCCACTACAGGGTCCATCGATGGCTCAGTGGGTAAAGAATTTGCCTGCAATGTAGAAGACACAGGAGGCATGGTGTTTGATTCCAGGGTCAGGAAGAAAGAGGTGGCCACCCACTCCAGTGTTCTTGCTGGGAAAAATCCCAGAGGATGAGTTCCCCCTACAACCTGTTGCACCTACAGTTTCCCCACCTTAGTCCATGCCAACTCCATCCTTCTCTATACACAGGTCAAAAATCTTGGAGTTCTCTCTGCTGCCACAGTTTTCCTCAGACCCCACATCGAGTTACTCAGGAATTGGTGTTTTCTTGACTCTCAAGTGTATGGATATTGATCTACACTAGGGTTTCTCAACTTCTGCAGTGTTGATATTTTGGATGGGATCATTCTTCATGGGATAGCAGTCTGCCTGAGGACCGAAGCATATTTAGAGACTTCCTCTCTCACCCTTCCTTCATCTAGACACCAGTGGAAACTCTCCATCCCCCTTCCCCCAGTCTTAAAAAGTAAAAGATGTCTCCACACAGGGCCTAGTGTCACAGAGTGGGCAGGGAGTGAGGGTGGGAGCCCAATCACTCATGATAGAGAACCAGTGATGTGCCCAGTGTCTCCTGTTCCTGGCCTCTGAATTTGGGCAGATGACTGTCCTGGTCAGGGTGCAGCGGTGTTTTCAACTCAGCCCCCTGCTCATCTAGACATTAGGATTGAAGTTTTTCATCTCCAGATCCTGGGGTTTTCTGCCATGAAGATTTTTCTTTGTCTCCATCCTTGAAATCAACCTCTTTGAGCCTGCCCACCAAGGGCAGCCAGATGTTGGGTCTGCTCAGTGAGGGTCCTCTCGCCCCCATCTGGAATTTCAGATCTCTTTGAGTTCAGCCTGCAGAGAAGCTTTGGGGCTTCTCTCTTTGGGCTGCCCTAGGCCTCCCTGAGGAGGAGGTGCACAGGGATGAATAGGGTTTAAATGTGGTGTCCGACATGTGGGGCCACACCTCTTGCCCCCTGGTTTCCAGCCTCTGGTCTCCCAGGGGTCCCACCCATTGGGAGTTCATACTGGGTCAGCCTGAGCTCCTGAGACACCCAAACCAGGAGTGACACTTAGGGGAAACCAGATGCCCACTTCAGTCCTGTCCCCAAGGGACCCCAAAAGGGTCCTGATTGAGAAAGAAAGGCAGTGAATCCTCTCTCTTTGGGTAGGCACAAAAGAGATCAAAGGGAAAGTGAAGAAAAATCCTATGAGGTTTCAGGATCTAGAGTTACCATTGAAGTCCACCACCTCTGGAACATCCCCCTGGCTGGTGAAGGGCAATGGAGTCCCCTTGTCCAGTCTACCCAAGTAGACAAAGCAGACAAGAATGGCCTGGGTACCGGTGAGTAGGCAATCCCCAGTCTTCCCACTTGGTAGTATTTGAACTTCCCTAGGCACGATTTCCTCTTGATCAAAGGACTAAAAACTGAGCTAACTTCCCGCTGCCTCCTCACCTCCCTTCACCACCACCACCCCTCAACCCGCCCGCCCCATCATCTGGAAATGCAGAGTGCTCTGAGACTCGTAGGTCTTTCCTGCAGGTTCTTCAGCGCTCCAGGTAACTGGGAATTTGTTCTCCAAAGAGGGCGCAATAGAGGGTCTTTGGCCACAAGGGAGCAGCCAGTACATGTGAGGGAGGGCCTGTGTCCCAAAGGGAAAGCCGATGAGGAAGTGATATATCTTGGCCTGGGTGATGGTTACATGTTGCAAAATGTATCATTTGGTGTGGAAATGAACAGAACAGGAAAACTTGTTGCTCTACCTGACTAGAAGAGTTACCACTACCCCCTATAGACCAACAAAGTGCAAGTGGCAGCAAAGTACAGAAATACAAAATGGACCGAGTTGACAGACTTGAAACTGACCCATAGCTCGGTAAGTGAATGGATTTTCAAGAAAAGCAGTTCAATGGGGAAAGGAAATCGGTTCAATATTGGGGACGGGGCAGTTTATTTCTATCTCATAGACAAGGATTAGTCTGAGGTGCATCGTAGACCAAGACATAGCAGTTAGAAGGCATTTTGAGGATACTTCGTGATTTGGTGGTAGGCAGAGATTTATTAACCAGGACACAAAGAATATAAAACAAAGACAAATGATGCATTAGATATCATCAATGTTAACCATGTCTTCCCAGCCAAAGATGCCATGAAGTGGAAAAGCAAGCTATAGACAAGAAGAAAATATTCACAAAACATAGCTTACAACCCCACCTCCCCATGATTATAATGTATAATGTCCTTCTCCAACTCAATAATAATTTCTTTTTAAAAGAACAATTAACCAACTTTTTTTTCCAGATGGGTGAAAGATATGAACAGGTACTTCAGAAGATACGCACATGGCCAAAAAAGGATACAAGGAGTGCTCATTATTTGTAGCTGTCAGAGAAAAGGACATCAAAACCACATTGAGGTACCACTACTCTTTTAGTAGCATGGCTAAAATTATAAGGAGAAGAAACACCAACAATATTGCAAAGAAATGGAATAACCACAACTCTCATTCATATTGTTGGGGGTAATCTAAAATGGCACAACTGCTCTGGTAAAAGCTTTAATGCTTCATGAAATTGAGTATATACTACTCTTTGGTACCAGCAATATTGCCTATTCACCTAGGTTTTTTCCCAAGGGAAATGAAAACCTATGTCTACGAAATCTCTTGTGAAGAGAATGTTCAAAGCAGCTTCATTCACAATAGCCAATACTGGAAACAGCTCAAATGCTCTCTATCAAGTGAATGGAAAACAGACTGTGCTGTGTTACTGCCATGGAATATATCTCAACAATGAAAGAGAAATGAAATCTGCTTGACTCAACAATGGATAAAGTCAGAGAGACTATGCAGATAAAGAGGTGTGAAAAAAAAAAGCAGTATTTGCGCCTATGATCCCATTTCCATGACATTCTAGAAGAGGCAAATATACAAATGAAAGGAGTCTGGACAGTAAATGTTAACAAATAAATCAGAGGCCAATGACAATGATTTTAATGATTCCTCATTGCTGACTGAGTAGTCACTAAATCCAGGCAAAGGGGAAAATAACAGTAGGGCTGAGAGTTCCCTTGTTGGCCCAGTCTGATGGACAAAAATGTTGAGGCACTGTCAAAGTCCATATACAGCAGAAGTAAAACCACCAGGTCACCAAAACAGCAATTAGTAAAGGTTGACAGTGCCCAAAAAGACGGTTCAGGAAGAGGGAGTGTTCTAACAAATTACGGAAGGAGGCTCAGAGGTATACTGTTATAAAGCAGCTTACATAGTGAGGAGGTAGTGGCTGTTTATTCTTCACCAATGATTAGTTGTATCAATAAATTAG